CAAGAAAGAGAACCGCTAAAATTCCCTTTCGTACCCACCCTCCTCTGAATTTTATAAAATACCATGACACATTACTAATCTCAGAACACATTCAGAAACTGCAACTTCTTTGTTTCTAGATATGTTCAGAGCATAATAATTACAAGATTTTTGTACATTACTGAGATTCTAATGAATTGCAAAATAAAATCTCACTGACGCCTATAATGCAAAAAACGCCTCTTGCCATGCGCGCCAATGAAAAATACACTCGCCGTCAACGTGTTGAGGAAAACGCAGTCATTTCTGAAGAGCAGGATAGCAGAGGGCAAATTGAACTTTTCAGAGCGAGAAGGGGAGCGAGATGTAGCTAAGTTCTAGCTCAAGTTATTCTTTCGCTACAAATATACCCACTATTAAGAGGTTGTAAGTAAAGCGGATGTTTGTGATATACCTTTATACTTCAGAGGTTTTGGCGGTGGGTTCGACGGTGGTCCAGGTTTTGGCGGTGGATACCCAGGAATGCATCCTCCTCCAAGTGCTCCACCGAGCTATGATGACACTATGGGTTTCAAAACATCCGCTCCTACTGGCTCTGCTCCAGGCAGTAGCGGTCCTGGATTTTGGACAGGTGCTGGTCTCGGAGCACTTGGTGGTTATCTGTTTGGAAGGAACACGTAAGTTTCATTAAAGTTCTGTTCTTGCTTTCCACAGATAATTTTTTTTGTTCTAAGTGGAGACTCTACATCTGGCATGTTTGGCACAAGTGGACGATCTCAGCGTGGAAATGAAAGATTCATGAGAGATACTGGATTCGATGGTTATGATGCCGACCAGCCGAGCACGTCAGGGATGAGGGAAAGCACGGGTTAGTTTCGGTTTGTTGACTACTGTATGATGGCACGATATTGAAGATGATATTGAGTGCTACACTTCGAATCATTGAGCTCTTGAAAATTTAGCAATTTATGCTAAACGGGGGAACATTTGTCTGCTCTGCTAATTCAGAAAGTCGTGTCTCTTGTGTGTAAATTTTTACTCACTGACGTTGCGTGTGGACGTAGGATCATAAGCGAGCTTATGGTAAGCTCAAAGCGCGGGGTCATATGCAGTTCTGACCAACGGACAATTTTCATCTAAGAACTTTTGAATTTTATTGGAAATTCTCTTTTGCTTGACAACATTTTGGGATACTGAGTGATCGAGATACGTGCAGAGAGTACCTTCCATTCGAAGACTTCTTGTTCTTTTTTCACTATTTTGTCATTTCAAAGGTTACGACTTTGTCCATGCAGCAACAGCTACGCGAATATTTCAGGTTATGGTGGCACCAGACGCCGTTAGAACCTACATCAAGGAAGGTTTATTTAGTAGGAATAATGGTTCAAAGTGATATTTTTCACGAGGCTGCTTCCATTAGTTAGTGGATTGTCTAGTTAGATTGCTATTCTTAATCACATGACACATTGCATTTGTTCCTCAGCGATCAGATTCGAGTGGGCATAGATCAAGCATCAGATGACCATTTCAAAGGTTAGGACTTTGTCCATGCAGCAACAGCTACGCTAATATTTCAGGTTATGGTGGCACCAGACGCCGTTAGAACCTACATCAAGGAAGGTTTATTTAGTAAATAATTTTCTAAATGATATTTTTCACGAGTTGTTCCATAGTCATGTATGTATAGATTGCTATTCTTTAATTCATGAACACTGCATTGTCCTCAGCCGATCAGATTCTGATGGCCTAGATCAGCCATCAGAACGCTTACTAACGAACAGCTTAAAAAAAGTTCATTAGGAATGCAAAACATACTGCTTTCGAACTATATTTCATGTTTCGCGATCCTGCGAAGAAATGGAATATTTGCTACAATGATAGAGTCCAACCGCTGAACCCACTAGATATCTAACTTGGCCTTCTTTCGGCTTGTTGTTTCAACTTAACGTTCAGGATTCCTTCTCATTGCTAGCTAGAATCAGTCATCCTGACTGGATTGAAATTACATGTCACGGGTTCAATCTGCATACATAGTAATCCATTTTTTGCGCTTTCAAAGTTGTGATTGGTAGGAACTAAAGGAGCCCGTACGCAACTACTGCTACGTTAGAAATCACTTCAAAATTTGCGAAACTATCATCAAAGGAGGTGTGTAGCAGAACAAGCAGCGCTATTGGCAAGGGCTCAGAGGTGTGGAGTCGTTGGATTGATTGCTTTGCTGTATTCCTAAATTGCTCGTTTCAGGAACATAGCTAGAAGCACATAAATCGCTGCTTCATCAAAGCTTGTTTGTAGTCGTTTGTACGAGGAGCTTTGGGGCAGTTGCTATCAAGTTCAGGCACTATTTGTCGTCGCTTGCCCATGCGTTCATAGCGCTTGCACCAGGCATTTTTGCGTGTGTTAATTGTGGTACTCATGTTGAAGGGGCGAAACTACTGCCAGGGGCAAGTTTATAGCCAGTTCTGACTCAGCCTAGCAACAGTGGAGCGTCACCCATAACCTATCTGTTCTCAAGGTCTGGTCTTGTGTTGGAATACACACTCTGGTCACGCTTTTGTTGAGAAAATAGGAAAAAAGAGCTTGTTCTATTATTCTTAGTTTCCTGGTGACTATAAGCAAATTCTACCTCAAGATCAGTCCTTGATGAGGATCCACTTTAGAATAAGGGTGAATAACGGTGGAGGAGTCCTTGACGTTAGGTTTTTTGTTGTGCTTGATGGAAGTAGAGGATCAGTTTGGGATTTCTGGTTGCTGTAGATGAGAACGGTGGATGTAGTTGGTAGCATCATGAAATGTAACGTCCGCTGCTTCGGCAGTCTGATATCCCCGTCTTCCGGATGACAGTTTTGGAGCCAGGGACTGGGGAGTGGAGTGTTAGTGGCCACATACTGCCTGGATCAACAGCGTGCGTCATTGACACCATCGACCGGAGGGGGTCCGTATCGCGAATTCAGCGCAGGGCAGAATAGCGGTTGCTTGAGGGGCAGTTGTACCAGAACGTGGGGGTCCAGACAGAAAATCACTTTTTCAGACTAAGCATTTTGAGGGAAGGAAGGATAGCAGTGATGCTGTAATAGTGAGCATGTGCGAGTGTCCAGAACACATCACGCCTAATCCCCAAGTCTTCCGATTGACAACTCCTTGGAGCGTAGCGGCCTTTTTCTCGACGCGAGTTCGTAGCGCGTAAAATGACTGGTTAGGAAGTAGGGTAGGCGGCACCATCGGATGGCTATGTTTCATTTTTGAAGTAAGTGGGAATTTGGACTTGTATATAAATTTGCTGTGGAAGTTTTACCCCATGAGCATGAATATCGCACACGATTGCGCGAGCGCTACGCGACATGGGCAATCGCGAGCCTATAGTGTTTCAGTTTGTTAGGAATTGACCAGAACTCTTTGTACAACTATAGACAAGAATTGATGAATTGTTTTGGTTGAAAGTCTCAGGATCCATGTTCCTAAAGAAAAAGCATTGGGGTAAGTATTGCAAAGTCGTTCCAACGAATCTTCGCTGTGGACCCACATCGCTACCAATTGCCTCGTTTTGCTGTGATACTTTCCATGTCGCTTGTTTTATAGAACCTCACGTGGTGCAAATCCCTTTTTTGAATGAATGTCTCAAATATCCCGTTCAGAGAATTGCTCTCAATATGAAAGTAAAGTTAGATTATAGTTATACGTATCGAAGCGGATACGTTGATGTGGCAAAGTGGCAAACTTATTGTTAGTGCAGATACGATCAATCGTAATCGCCAGTTGACCTTAAGGGAATTTCCTATTGATGACCGTTGTTGGTTGATTAAGCACAATTTTCGTGATTAGTTGATTTCCTCTATCTTGTGATTGCATCGCTTGACTAACTTAAACGATTTTCGGAATGGATGTCATTTCAAGTTACAAATTACTTTTTTTGAAAAATACACGTAGGAAACGTCATTCGAATGGAGAATCAATTACCGTCGCAACAATATAATTCCGAGGAAGAGCTCCGTTAGACTCTGCTTAACTGCTCCATACAAGTGTAGTTGCTATATCATATGTAACACTAGGATTTTACAATAAAATCAAACACGATGGCGAAGGAACCCTAATTCAAATGACTGAAACCTCTGTGCAGCATTAGTGTTATTTGTATTAAGAACGCTAGAGAGATATTTTGTCGATTTTTCTTTCAAGACATCTTGGGTGTTATGCTTACCAGCCACAATAAGCCTGAGTTACCTGATCTTATAGGTACATTTGCTTAGAGTGTTTCCTTGATGAAGCTCATTCTAAAAATGCTGAGTTTGGGGTATTGCGTGGGAGCTGTGAGGCTTTCAAGATGATTAAGTCTACTGAATTTTATCAGAATGTTTTAGAGCCTTCTCTGCTAATGAGCATTTTATTTTCAGTGTAAACCTTTAGAGCTGTTCGGTAGAAAGGATGTATATATGTGTGTTTACTTAATGATATTTTACTGTTATGCTTGTTGAAATAATGTTTCTTGAACTGCATGATCTTGATATTGTTCTGCTTCGGTGCATTGTATTTCAATGAAGTGGTCGAACGTGTATAATCCACATCAACACTGTTTTCCTTGCTTATAATCTTCAGTGCGAACTGGCGGAGGGTAGTTGTGTCCCATGTGGTCTAGTGGTTAGGATTCGTGGTTTTCACCCACGCGGCCCGGGTTCGATTCCCGGCATGGGAAGACTTTTGCAAATGCCTTCGATGTTCATAGAAGTGCCACTCGAGGCCATTTGTGCTCTCTAAACCTAATCGCTTACTGTTAGATAAGGTCAGCTGTAATTTTGCTGCTGAGCAACTGTTTAGAAGCTTTTCTCATGGACTGCATCATTAGGCCTTCAGGATCGTTAGGCAAGATCGAAATAATATTTTGCACCCATGAAGCTGGCCAATAATCCAGGATAAATTATTCGTTGTTTATTTTTATACCAGTGGTTATAGAAATTTGAAAATGGGTAGACCACACCCCCAGGAGGTGCAAAATCGACGAAATGCTTTTCTGGTACTACAGGAGAAAACCTCGCTCGAACGGGGATGGGTACTTTTGAATGCATTTTGAAACGTTGATCTTAAATCTGGTATTGAGTGATTACCTAAACAAAGATATCAAGAGGCAGCGGAGGTGGTCTGGGCTCACAGACCAGGAAACCATGAATCAACTCCTTGGCGGGAGTTTGCTATTTTGCTTTCAGCTTGATGAAAAGGTTTGACCACGTTGCTTCTCAAATACCCCTCCATAGCTGCCTGTATGGTGAGGTAGCGAGGAACCTTTAACAGATCTAGTCAGCATGTGCCCGTGACTACCCGAATCATTCGTAGCAAAAGCGCCGAGCAGGTACCCTCGCCTTCAAATGATCAGGAATTGTGCAACTGCAGAAATTGACGTGGCATTAACGTGGCATCGGCAGGTTTGAAGGGGAATCATGGACGTTGTAGTTTCCCGACAGCCTTCAAAACACGAAGCAGCCCCGGTGGTGAGGGTGGAAGTTACTAATACATGTCGTATTGATAACTTTTTCCATAATCAATATTCTGCTTGAACGTTTAGTCAGGAAGAGGTCAGCGCAAGCAATTAAGTGAGTCACCGTAGGCAGATTTGGCCTACCGTATGCAGTTGTATTCTAAGTTCCGCCAACCAATCGAAAGCCATTTTGGTAGGCGGGTGTGCACCGAGGTGGGTGGGTGAACTTACTAATCTCTTCCCTGACGGATACCAAAAAATATGGACAAGGTTTCCACAGGGTCGTATGAGGTAACTACTGATTGATGTCAACTGAAAATGTCGGTTTTCGCTCGAGGAGGGGGGCTCGAGACGGGTGCGGGCCGAAATCTCATAGATTTCATACAAGAACCTCTTTATTCGTTAAGCAGAAGCTCACAGGCCGTAAAAAGGCCGTATGAAATTCGGTAGAGCTGTGTGAGATAAAGTTTCATAGAGTCGTTATCTATCGGTCGATATCGAGTAACGCTTTTTGCGATTGCAAAACTTGAGCTGCTGTGCTGAAATCTATGCTGTAATCGCAAGCAATTTGCCGCTGATGAGAAAAGCAAAAGCCACCGAGAAGGCTTCTGTCAAAGGATTAGGCTATGATAAATCGAAGGGCCATGAAATAGCAGGGCGGAAGTGGTGTAGTGCCAAGTGGCGCGCTTACCACGCGAGCGGTCCGGGATCAAATCCTGGGTCGTGAGTCGCCCGGGCCAACCAAGCCTTCCATCCCTCCGGGGTCGGTTAATTGGTACCAGACTTGTCTGGGAGGAAAACACTGACTTGTACATCGGCTGGCCCCCGCAAGTCATTGTATAGGCCACATCGCATTCAAACGCCACTACGAATGTACAAATGGAAGTAGAATGCGTGCCGCATCCCAAAAAGGGATTGATCAACGGCAAATGCTTTATCCTTTAGAACACAGACTCGAAAAGAGACAGAAATAAAGGACAAAATGCTCAAGATGGTATACTCGACTCTTCTCAAGCGGCCGCTTCGATGTACCATTCTTCCCTTGTCGGCTCGTCATCTTCGTTTCGATGGTATACCGTGGTAGTTTGAGGCAACTCAACAATACTCTGCTCGTGTTGTCACATGCGGATGTACGC